ATCAAGACTAAGCCAAGGAGACCGGAGATGGGAGAGGGCACAGACCCACACATTGTGCGCCACCACAAACTGGAAAGCGAGGGGTGGCTGGGATCCCAGCTGGATGGGAGTGTCAAAAGCTACATTAAGAAAGAGCCATTTTTAGTCCGCCAGTCAGCCATTCCACACAAACATACACTAGGCTGACCGCATGGTCCGAATTATCCAGTCCGTTGGCAGCCTTCTAAGCCACGGTTTTTAGCGCACCGTGATAGCTTCAAGCGCGTCAGATTGTGTATAGTGAGGAAAGCGCGCTGAATAAAAGCATAAAGACCACAAAAAACGCAAATAATAAATAAATTTTTGGCCTGCAACGCGTCGTATGACAGGAAATAACGAAACTTGGTAGAGTCTAGATGCGGACAGTAGCCAAAGGGAAAGAAAAGAAACGATTTCAGACGGAAAAGCAAAACTATTAGTCAGGCTAACGAGAGAAGAAACAAAATGAATCGTAATCCCTTGATGCATAAAATAAATGTTTGAAAATGAGTAGTGAACAAGCAATACCTACCTGGAAGTCCACGAACAGGATTTCATGGGTTTCACATTTTCCGGGCTCTACAAAGACAGCGTCTTCTAACTTCGCCTTCTTATTGGTTGGCGGTAGACAGTAGCGGAATATATGATGACCTGCTGCCAGACCAATAACGCAAACTTTGTTTGAGTGTTGCATTACACACAGGTCATTGCCAGGCTCCTCGTTCACGTCACAGAAGTAACGCGTGACATAGTACCGGTCGGAGAATGATTGCGTTGGAGGGGCTTTAACAGGAGTTCCATTGTCAACAGTTTTCTTCGTATCCGACGTTTTCAAATATGGCAAAAACCATTCTGAGTTGGCAAAGTCAGGGCCAGTTGTCATTGTACTATCTATCTGAGAGAAAAAATATGAGAAACAAGGAAGAATTGAAGGGAATTCTTGAAGGAACTGCGCTACATTTTAAAAGCAACATTCCACATTCTTAATTCATTGTGCCTACGGAAAAAAACAACGGATAATTAGGAGATAAATAGGCTAAAATAATAAAACTATACACCAAAGATTGCAAACATAACTTAGAGGCCGGACT